CACTACTATCTTCAGGCCTCGAAGACCGCGTCCGAAGGCGCGCCCGCCAGCTGATCCCCTAGCGCCGCGCTGAGGCCGCCCCTCCCCCGCGCGCGCGCGCCCGTCTGCTCCGACCACACACCCGGAAGTGACCTGCAACCGGAAGTGCCTCTCAGGGCAGCGCTACCCCTGCTCAGGGCCGCCTCTGGGAAGCCGGCTAGAGCCACAGACCGAAAGAAGTCGATGTCAAGAAAGGGACCAGAGGAGGGGATCTCGGGACAGAGACACTTGGAAGAGAACGTTGCTATTGCCCTGCCGCTGCGCACCCTGGGAAAGGTAGTTCGGTGCAACCTGGCATCTGGACTACAATTCCCAAAATGCCCCGGGAGCGGGCGCGCCTTCGGACGCGGTCTTCGAGGCCTGAAGATAGTAGTGGGGTGGTGCAGGAGTGGGGCTTCGAGCACTCAAACATATTAGGTAAAGACACCAGAGACTAGTTTCCCACCTGCATGTCCCACTCTCTGGAGTCATTTTATCTGACTTGGCCTCGTTGACCGAGGCACTCTGGGAATTGTGGTTCGCACGGGTCCAGATTGACACCTGAAGGACGCGGCTTAACAGCCTCGCCCCCAGTTGTACTTGGGAGTTCTTCGACGTCACGAGAGCAGAGGTACTGAAGGCAGCGGGTGGGGGAAACATGGTGCCAGCAGGGAGCCAAACGGAACCCCGGTGCTGAAGGAAGCAAAGCTGGTGTCTTCCTTCCCCTGTCTACGACGAGAACTCCTGAGAAACCCGCGAGGCGGAAAAGGAACTGCGGGAGGCCCAGTGTTGGGGGGATCTAGGGACCAGAAAACGGTCCACCATAAGGTTGCACCCCCAATCCATGGCTCTCAGTGGACCTAGACTTGTCTGGTCCTCACCAGACACTTTCATGAGGGAACTTTAGACACACCTGCTGCTTGCTCTTCGAGACTCTTTCACTAGAAGTTGCAGGATTCACTTGGTACCGCCTGGGTGAGGATAGGGTACAGGGCTGTGTGATTAGCATGTCAAATGCTAAAGATTTGGAAGGGAACTGAGACCTTCTCCGTTCCTAGATTGCCTCATAGGTGATATTGATGTTGTGCCAAATCCCTAACTCTCCTGACCCCTCCCCCAAGAAATACTTGGGTTTTCTTTTCTTTGAGTATAAATTTTTCTCCTCTACCTGCTCGCCCCACTTCTTAATGATGAAACCGCCCTCTTGACTTGCAATTCATTTCTGCTTCAGGCACTTGAGGAAGATCTAGAAGGGTGCCCCCAGGAAAGAAAAAGATGGCTCTTGTCTAATCTGAATATATTGAGCTGGGCTGGGCTGAGGGTGGCTGTTGCGGTTTCTTGTTTCATGTGGTGCCATAGTCATCTAGCTCCCTGGTGAGAGATAGCATCTTTTCTTCTTGAGAGAGCCAGTATTGCCACTTGAGTTCACACAATCCCGTAGCCACCTTCAGAGTGAGACTCAGCACCTGCTGAGCATCCCCTTAACGCAGCCCACGAGGTGTGTTCGCCTCACCTTCCTTAAAAGGCTTGATTTCTGTCTAAAGAAGCTTGGCATGAATCTTAAAATAGATGGGAAATCGTGTTTGGCTTCTAGACCCTCATCTTCTCAGCACGCATTAACTTTGACTGACTTAAAGGATCTGTTACTCTATCCATCAGGCATTGTTGCCTTATCAGGTTTTACTTTTCTCCACTTTCCTGGTACAGACCAGGTTTTCACAAATCTCAAGTCTAACTTCAGACCTTCAAAGCTTTCCAATGGCAGTAAGGCAGCTAGCATGCTTTTATTAGGTCCATACTTGGGTGATAAACCACTGTTTACAGAAGGGGGCTGGCAACAATCATTCTTGGGGTTTTATTTACTTATTTATTTATTTTGTGTGTGTGTGTGTATGTGTGTGTGAGGAGAGGTGGAGACTCACTGGTAGCTTTGATTGGCCTGGAACTCACTCCGTAGCCTAGGTTGGCCTCAAATTCATAGAGAACTGCCTGTCTCCGCCTCCCAGGTACTAGGACACCTGGCCTTATTTTTTTTTTTAATGTATAGCTTGATCACAATCTGAGGGAGATTTAAAAATAAACAAATAAAATGACTATGAGACTAGATTTATTGCTTTGCATTCTTTTAGAGACTAATATTAATAGCAATTATAACTCCAGTTGTTCTAGTTTTACATATATTGGGTTATTTAACCCTCACAACAGCCTATGAAGCAGAGTACTGTTATTAAGATCATTTTAAAGATGAAGAACTGAAAGCACAAAGATGAACAATTTGCCCAAAACCACGCTGACAGTAGCAGCAATGCCAGGATTCAAGCCCAAACAGTTTAGCTTCTGAGCTCAAAGCTAAACTGCTGTGGGATAATGCTCTTGCACCCTGTAAAGATTTGTTCCTTGTTTTGGTTTAATAAAATGTTGATGGGCCAGTAGCCAGGCAGGAAGTATAGGCAGGGTGACCAGACTAGGAGAATTCTGGGAAGAGAAAACTTTCAGTGATGTGGGAGTCCCCTCTGTGTGTTGCTTTTCTTGGTTAATGAATAAAGAAACTACTTTGGCCTGTTGATAGGGCAGAACTTAGGTAGGCAGGGAAGACAGAACTGAATGCTGGGAGAAGGAAAGAGTCAGAGAGATGATTCAGTCTGCAGTCACCAGCCAGATGGAGAGAAAGCAAGATGAGAATGCTTCACTGAGTAAGGTACCAAGCCACATGGCTAAACATAGATAAGAATTATGGGTTAATTTAAGTTGTAAGAGCTAGTTAATAAAAATCCTGAGCTAATAGGCCAACCAGTTTATATTTAATATAAGTCTCTGAGTTTTGTTGGGACTGAATGGCAATGCCACCAGCAAGACAGAAACTTCCATCAACACTCAACAGTCTGCTTAGAAGGAAGAAACTGACTAAAAGACTGAGCATAGATAGGAATAGATATGGCTCTCCATAGCTCTGATCATAGAACACTTAGATCTTGACACCCATCAACCCCAAAACCAGAACTCACCAGTCCTTGAGAACAAAGTAATCTCAGATGAGCCGCTGTAATCTACAAACATACACACTTTCTATAACATATCCCACCATGCCTTGGGTCCCTGTTCAGTTTTTCATATATGTTGCCACTGTAATCAAGTTCCTCAGAGTCAAGGAACGGCCTTCTGTTTACCTCCTTAGAGACCCAACACAACCTGAGTTGGAAAGATGGGCACGCTCTAGATCAGGTGAGCTTGGCGTGGGTCTGGGAGACACTGGATATGTTGGATTAAAGGAAACTGACATTTTCTATCCAACTATATGTTAGGTCCTCTCTAAACTCTTAGCCCCGCATCTTGTTCGATTCTCACAGTTGCAGTGCCTGGAAATCTGATACTGTTGGTTGTATCAAAGTAGATCTGTTTAACTATTATCGCCCATTTTGTCTGAATACTGGAGATGTGAGAAGTAGCCCATGGCCATGTTTCCCTTCTTAAGTTTGGAGGAAATCGTGTGCCCTTTGACTGATTTAAGTCATTGTAGACTCCATTATAGACATAGTATGATGCGCCTTGTCTCGTTTAGGTGTCTACTGCTGTGAACAAGCACAGCGGCCACAGCAGCTTGGGCAGAAAAGGCTTTATCTCAGCTTGCAGCTCTCAGGTCACACTCGGTCACTGAAGGTAGTCAGAGCAGGAAGCAGAGCCTGGAGGGGCACTGCCTGGTGTCTTGTCCCTTCACCAATAACTTCTCCTGGACTCTTCACTCTATCCTTGCTACTGCTACATGGTGCCATCCTCACTTCTTTCCACGACCCCTTCAATTCTGGGGCTTCAAATGCATCTGAGACTGCACCTTCATCCGGGGCCTCTCTCCAGGAACTCCAGCCCGTCCCCAGAATTCCAGGCCTTAGCACTCTCCAGAGCCCCATCCTGCCTTCAGAAACAATACCACACAGGTGATTCCTACACTACCAAGTTCAGCTGCCAGTATGAGATGCAACCTCTGGCTCCTCTCTGTACTGACCTGAGGAAACTCCTCCCTGAAGATTTTATCTCTTATTCACAGCTGATCCTTCAACCGCATCTGGCCGGTAGGGATCGCCCAGCAAAGCCACAGCAAAGGTCCCATTCACTTCAGCAGTTCTTTTCTTTGTTTTGGGTTTTTTTTTCCCCCTTTGGCTTTTTTTCTTTTTTCTTTTTTCCTCGAGACAGGGTTTCTCTGTGTTGCCCTGGCTGTCCTGGAACTCACTCTGTACACCAGGCTGGCTTCCAACTCAGAGCTCCACCTTCCTCTGCCTCCCAAGTGCTGGAATTAAATGCGTACACCACCAACAACTACAGTTCTTAATTCAAAATATCAAATGGCCCTGGTAGAGTCCTTAGGAGACTCTGAGACTTCCCAAGCCTCTGTCTTCTGCGCTACCCTCAGGTTTATCATTTTATCCCACAACAGTTCAGTAAGCTCTGAACACTCAATGACTTTCCCAGCCTAAAGTTCCAAAGTCCTTCCACAATCCTCCCCAAAACATGGTCATGCCTGTCACAGCAATGCCCCACTATCCTGGTATCAATTTCTGTAGTAGTAATTTTTCTATAGCTGTGATAAAACACCACGACCAAAATCAACATAGGGAAGAAAGAATTTATTTCATCTGACAGTTTATAGTTCAACATCCAGGGAAGTCAGGGCAGGAGCCTAGAGGCAGGAAATGATGCAGAAGCCATATAGAAGTGCAGCCTACTGGGTTGCTCCAATGACTTACTCAGGACCACCAGCCCAGGGGTCAACACCACCCACAGTGAGCTAAACCCTTGAAGCTACATCAATCATCAAATCAAGAAAATGCACCACAGCCAATTTGGTGGGGACAAAGAGATCCCCTCTTCTGAAATGGCTCCAGTCTGTGGCAGTTGACATAAAAACTCACCAGCACACACATGAAAACAAGACATGAAAGAGAAGAGCAACTTTAGAAAACAGAAAAGAACCAACGTCAAAGGTCCCAGCGAAGTGAGGCATTGTGTTGAGTTTTTTCCTCTTAACCTTAGCAATAGTCTATGACTTCATTTTATCCATGTGCAAGTGAAGGCCAATGAGATTAAGATAGGTCAGTGGTTGCTGCACAAACCCACAAAGGGCAGAGCCAGAACCAGAACCAGACTGACCACAAACCCCACATGGATTCTGTGTTGTTCCATGCTGTGTTGCTATCTCACAGCCCAGTGGAACTTGTTAGAAATGCG